AAACAACAACAGCAACAACAACAAAAACCCAGCCTTAATCTATCGACTTAATACCTGGGAACTGTGCTTCGGCATAAATCGATCCTTCTTTCCTTTCGAACATCCAAGGAAAGCCAGTCTTCGTAAGGTAGTTATGATCACAAATCGAAGTCCGAAGATCATAATTGATACTACTACATAGGTGGTTTCGTAGACATAACTCACAGCATTTTCCAATCCCATCAGCTGCGAATGTCGTATAGGTAGAATCTTTCAGTTGATATCCATATTCCGAGTACTTGGTCTCGCATTGTTTGGCGCTCACAGTCGCCAACAAAATCGCCGAGTAAATCAAAAATGCTTTAAAGGCGTGGTCCACGAGACAAAATTTACTCTGCATAGCTGTGAAATGTGACATTTGAATTTGAACGATAATGTCCAATTGGGATTTGTTTTGTCTAAGATTTTCAACTTCAGCAAGGTGAGAAGACTTCGAAAATCCTCGAATCTGTTTGTAGCGAGCGCTTTCTAAAAATGTCCATTATCATCTGCGTCTTTGGTTTTGAACAGTATTAAAAATATTGAATTTTTCAGTATAATAAACAATGCTATGATAAACAATGCTATATATGAATTTCTTGCTTCACTTCTAAGTTGGTTATTGACACTATTAAGGCAGTTATCAAAGGCTGCGATCATAACTTTCCTTTACTGTAAGCCGTTATTAATTTCGCGAGCTTATCTTTTACACATCAAGCAGTTTCCTTACAAAATTATTCACTGCTAAATATATAACTACATTGTGGCTTATCTCTCGGTCTACAGCTTAATTCCATATCCATATAGACTATTTCCACACTGTTACTTTTTCTTTCCCACATTATTAGTTTCACTATGTCAACAACTATTGATTCAAATCACCTGTCTCGACGACTAATTCATATTCTTTTCATCAGTTTTTTGTTATCAGTTCATTTTCATATCAATCTATCGGTTCGCCGGTTTATCTCCCTCCGCATGCAATAACAGGGTAGTTTACACTATCATGCTGTGCCCCGACTTTGATCAACTCAGATGCTGACAGTTCAAGGTTCTTTAGCTGCCCTGACGATTGAGCAGCCCAAAGGTTGTTAATTTGGGAGTTCAATCTCCGAGCTAGGCGTGCCTTAACTTTATTCAACCCAGAGGTTGTCAGTTTTAGGGTTCTATTGTGAGTTAGCCGTGCCATAACTTTGATCAACCCAGAGGTTGTTTCAGGGTATCGATCTAAGAGTCAGGCGTGCCCTGACTTTGATCAGCCCAGAGGTTGTTTCAGGGTTTGATAAAGTGAAGTTTTTTTCTGCTTTCCTCGCTTCATTATTACCACTATAACATAAAACAAATATCGCTAAAGGTCAACCTTCCTGTTAACTATATATATATATTACTTTCTTAATTAAAAACTCTCCTAAATCAGCCTTATTTTCGCCTAAGAGTCATTCCTTATCTGGCTGAACCAAAATTAGGAAGTAAATAACGCAAGATCGCAAACAATAATCTAATGAAATAGAGATCTAAAACACTTAGTTTTGCCAATTGAAAAAAAATTGTATTTACTATAAAAGTGGCCTGTAGTATTTTTCCCCTGTTTATTTCGACTCCTAAGAAAGTTGATAATCTGAGCAGAAAGATAGACATTTTAAATAGCTTTTAAGTAACGTCTTGATATATTTGCATTAGGTAAAACAGCTAAAAAAATAATTAAAACCGTAATTCAGTTCACTTTTTTATGTAATTCATTTAAAATTTCAGTTAAATTCCGATTCCAAATGTAGAGCCACCTTGTCTATGCCTCTTTATATCGTGTATATCCTTGGTGTGTCAGAACCTTAAAATTAAAGTATCCTGTAAACTGATCTTGCCAACTGCTCCCCCCCCCCCCCTGACACACACACTCACCTTTCTTTTGATACAGCTTAGTGGTAATAGCACTCGCCTCYTACCAAGGCAACCAAGTTCGATTTTTGCCAGTCTTGGTGATGCATATGAGTAGAGTAAGTCGTTTGATGGTTCTTTCCTGTGCTTCGAGGGTCCTTTTCCAGGTTCTTCTGATTTCCTAATTCCACAAAAATCAAATCCTAAATTCCAATTTGGTCATGGAATATTTAAAAATTAAAATAGCCACTGGCTATTTTAAAAGTGCTACCCTCGTAACAACTAGCAAGTCTTTTTTATGTATTTTGACTTGTCAAAACCCAAGTGAAGACAAAAATTTGTGGACAATTAAAAAAAAACATTTAGTAGTGAAGTGAAATGGTCATTTTTACCAGACATTTGTTCAGTTTTCATATGAGAAAGAATTCAATTTCTGAGTGCTAAGGGATTTTATTGTTCTGCCATCTTATCTTACAGAACATGGCCACCGGCATGTGATGGTGCAAAACCTCTAAGTAACACACACTAGCTATTTGCAGCCAGGCTAAATCTTCCTACTAATGTCCCTGGGACAGCCATCTTCAAGGATTTTACAAATGTTCAAGAATTTTGGATAAACAGGTATTCTTATGATGCTGTTAGTTTTCAAGAAGAAATTCATTAATCTGCTCTTTYATTTCTTCTTCATTCATGTGCTTAGTCGTTGATTCAGTAACGAATGATGGTAGAACATCAAGTCCATCCTTCATATCCTTCAAAGTGAGATGGCAGCCATAGCAAAGCTCTCCCATTATCCTATCACTTTCTGTACTCGTTTTCTTTGCTGAATCATGTACACACTTCTGAGATCTGATACAATTGCMAACACCTTCATAACCTTTGGCAGCCATTTCTCTATCTTTTGCAACATTTCCTTGGCAGTTTTCTTCCAGATGGAGTTTATCAACTTCATTAGTGAGACTGTCTTCATCCAGCTGAGCTAAAGGCACCCCACACAACGAACAGTGATAAGCGGACTGATAGTTGTCTTTAAGGGTAAGTTTATCGCCAGTTCTAAAGATAGTATTAACTGTGAATGGAAATTGTGCTTGTAACCCACCAACAAATTCCTCTGTTAGCCTATCGATACTAGCATAACAGTCCGACTTTGTCGCTAACGTTGGAACACTAATGGTGTCTATACCTTGAAAGAAATTGAAAAGTGAAATCTCCTTAGCTACAAACTCTCGCATAGGTCTCAAAACRATTAAGTTTCCATGGCGACTGTCCACAAATCCAGTATCAAAGGGTAAAGCCTCTCCTCTTCCTTGTGATATATCAGAGAGAATCCTTACTGAAATTCTTGATGCACAGTCACCTACCATAACTTTTAGATAGCCTTCCCTCATTGCTACTTTAATTAATAACTGGAGTCTTAAAGATCTGAGGAGATCTTCTTTGGCTGTTAACGATGCAAGAGAATTAAAACAGCTTTTAAGCTTTGAACTGGTAGAACAAGATTCTTTTTCATTTTCAGTTGCTGCAAACTTCTCTTGGAAAATATCCTCTAAATTCGCCTGATAAAAGTCAAAGGCACCATTCTTAGCAACAAACTCTGAAACCTCTCGCTTGATCTTTGCTCTTTCTTGCTCATCTAAGTCAAGTAAGGCTCCCTCATCAATGAATAAAACACCAGGTTTAAACCTGAACTTCTTAGCTGTTTTTCCACTCAGTCCTTCATAGACTAACCTCAACATGGCCATAGAGCAAGGCCCACCAGAGATTGCCAATAAGACTTTTTCTTCGTGACGAATTACCCGGGCTTTCCCAATCGTGGCTCTAAATTTGTGCACGAAGTAAGTCATAAAACAGGCCTCACACAGCGGGTCGTTAAGTCGAACTACRACAACTGCTTGAGCTTTTAAACATTTCATACAAGTTCGTCCATCTTTGTCAACCTTTCCACGTGGAGGACGTTGTAATGGCAGATCATCTTCTTCAATGTTACACATCGTAAAATCACTTTTGATCTTTCTGGAGTAGACTTAGATATCCAAAGAATGATCCAGTGAAAAAATACYACATACAAATGGGACTTATTATGATATTTTGAATCGGAAAAATTAGTTCAAAGGAGAAATTGCATCACACTAGAAATTTTTAGTGATCGACTGTTGACCGTGGGAGATTGGTAACAGATCCATCCACAGGAAGCCCAATTTTAAAATCAACTTCAGCGAAATATTATCCAAAATTAAAAGGGGAGTACATATAATATGTTAAAAGAATATTTTATATGAAGGGATATCATCTGCGAAAAGGAACGTCAAGAACCTCTTACGAAGTGAGTTAAAAACAAACAAAAAAAGAGAAGAAATTACAAAGTAAAATTTACCGAAAAGAAAACTAATATTGAATTTAACTTTCTTATTTCTAAGTTTTTCTGTTAGATATGAAATGAAAGAAGAAAACAAACAAACAAACAAACAAATAAAACAAAAACAAAAAACAAAGGAAGACAAAGAAAAGAAGACACGTGAACAAAAATTACGTCATATTTTTAGGATAACAGCTGATAAGAGTATTACGGGCTCATACTCGATCATTTTGTTGCCAAGAACTTTCTTGAAAGAGTGAAGGCTAAAATTTCTGTAAATGATTTTGAATTAAATATTAAAAAACAATTTTTAATATGACAGAATCAATTCTAGTAAAGTCTTTTCGGATTTCTGCCGTTGTCTCTGCTTATTGGTAAGTAAAACTGCTTCAAATTTATAATTTTTTGAACCCGAGAACCTTCCATAAACTTCCACGTTGCAGATTTATCCAGATTTGAATATTCATAAATGTGACTCTTCTTGAACATCGATAATTTGCAAACTTAATTTAATTTTAATATCGATACACATGTTTTTTATCCTTTAATTAGGTGTATTTCTATTTCTTTGGTGTTCTTAAACAAGTATTTGCTCAGCAGTCCAGACTTGAAGGTAAATTAATATATCAACTTTTTGGTTGATTAATGAGGCGTCAGTGGTTAGCATAATACTTCAATTTACAGTTTCGTTCATTGACCACGAATAATAGTTAACTGCCACGTGGTTAGCTCAGTTGGTAAGAGCGTCGGTCTGTTGTGCGGGAGGTCGTGGTTCAAGCCTCTGCCAGTACAACACTCGGTGTTTTAAAATAACTGCCTCAAAGTTTGTAATTACATCTGCAAATGGTTAGACCTTCAAATCTTCTCGGACAAGGAGGCCCCTTCTGTCTTCACTATATAAGACTGTATAAGGCAGATGTAAAAGATCCACTGAAGACGCTGGTGACGACCATCTTCAGTGGCTATGCTAACCATGCTAATTGGGTTGCAAGGCCTGTTAGGTATTAAGCTGTCCACCCAGGAGTGGTAAACGCATTAGATTAGATTAGATTAGTTCAAGACAAGGCTGGAGTTGCAACGCATGATAAAACTGTTGTTTTGCTATGAGTGGAATTAAACTCCAACCTCAACATGAGACTTTTATTCATGGTCACTGAACGAAGCTGTAAAATGGAGGTCAATTAATAAATCAACTTTTTGGTTGTTGATTAATGAGGTGTCAGTGGTTAGCATGATACTTCATTTTACAGTTTCGGTCAGTGACCACGAATAATAGTTCCAAGCCAAGGCTGGAGTTGCAACGCATGATTAACTGTTGCTTTGCTATGGGCGGAAACTCCAACCTAAACATCAAACTATCATGATAAGAAGAGATAAACTAGCTACAAAAATAAAATGCCTCTGTTCTGGGTATTATGTCTAACTGCCACCTGGTTAGCTCAGTTAGTAAGAGTGTCGGTCTGTTGTGTGGGAGGTCATGGTTCAAGCCTCGGCCAGACCAACACTCAGGGTTTTAAGATAACTGAGGAGAAGGTGCTGCCTTTGTAATTACATCTGCAAATGGTAAGACCTTCAAGTCTTCTCGGACAAGGACTTTAAACCGTAGGCCCTGTCTCCCAACCCTTCCTAACCTACAGTAAATGGGTGACATAGAAGAACCAGTTGAATTATTTGTGTAAGAATAGGGGATTGTCTCCTGGTTCAACAGCCTATTCCAATTTGGAGGCATAATACTAACTTACTAACAAATCGCTCATGATTCTAAGCTGCATGGCTGCTAAAAGCGCCTTAATATGCAGCCCGTAAAGTCCTCCACTGTTCATAATTGTAAAGCGCATTGAGACAACTGTGAAATGCGCTATAGAAGCACCCCATTACTATTATTATTATTATTTAACTCTTACCTACTTGTTATATTAACTGTTGTTTTTCTAGCTGAATGCCCCTCTTTTCATCACCTGGTTTCAATGTGTGATCACTGTGGTCTGTTTATTTCTATTGAGTTTCCTTGGTGAAAAGTACCCATGGATTGACAAATTTCCAGATTTTATTATAGATCTGTCTGTTGCAAAACAGGTAAAATTGAATTTTGATTTTGGTTTATGATTTATGATTTTTTCTCATGAGGATCCCATGGACACCACAACTGCATATCCTATTACTATGGGCCCTGTAGTTCATTAAGGTGGCTTCCTAGTTTTGAACGTTGGATTTGAGTCCACGATGTGCGTGCACTCAAAAACCGCTGTAAAATCTACAAGATTTTATTGAAGAACCATACGCGTTTTGAGCTTCAACAGGGCAAAACCCTCAAATTTTGCACGGGCTCTGTATTTTTTATAGCTTATTTGAATAAATTCCTAAAAATCTAGGTTATATCAACATTTTAGAAAAAGTTAAATATTCTAACACATGAAAAAATGGATTGTTGTAGGGAWTTTTGTTYGACTTTATGAGATTTTTTAAGAGCACTGAAACTACAAAATATGACAAATCAATGTATCTCTTTGTGTTTTTGTCGAAAATATCCACGTATTAGAATGATTGAATAGCCTTCATTGTGCAATCACATATGTTCGAATCGAATAATGAAATCTAGAATCCAAAAATAAAGTCATAAATGATCTCTATATGTTCACGCTTGAGGTGATTGGACTGTAAGTATTTTATATTATTAGTATTAATAATTAGTGCCAATGAATTTTTCTTTTTTTCTTGTATTTTAAGGTGCTTCCATTATCAGTTGTCTTTGTAGGAATGATCACTTTCAATAACCTATGTCTGAAGAATCTCGGAGTCTCTTTCTATAATGTTGGGAGGTCTCTCACTACTGTCTTCAATGTTGTAAGTAACTAGTATTTAACAACTATTCGCCAAAGCAAAGTAAATATCAGGAATATTTACCAAGACGCGAGTCTTCGAGTGGTGAGGTAAATATTCCCCGATATTCACTGAGGCTGAGGCAAGTAATTGTTTTAGTATAAATACACAGGTGATTCTTTCAAAAAAAAAGAAGGTAAAAGACATTTTTTTTCCAGTAACAGCAACAAAGCGGCTGGCTGCCATTTCGGACTATTGCTGAAGGTGACTATCGTCTGGTAGCGTGAGTTTTTCGACCAATCAGCGCGCGAGATTTTTAATAATCAGCTGTGTATTTTTACTAATATCATATAGACATTAGTATTTAACTGGGAAATATGCCACTCATATTTTTCATACCAACCACATCCAGGACCTCAGTGACATACAGTATTTTCCATATTCTCGCAGTGAAGATATCAATAAAAATAAATATTTAACAATCATTGCCAATAAAAGGTGAAGTGAATACCAGGAAATATTTGTAAACCAAGATGCAAGTTTTCGCATGGTGAGATAAATATTCCCTGATATTAACTGACCATTGAGGCGAATAAAAATTATTGTTTTAGTATTTTTAATGCAAGCGAATTATAATGATAACAGAGAAAAAGTTTTGTTTTGTTTTATCCAATTTTATAAATATCTCTGCATGCGGCACACATCAATAAACAAGCGTGTGCATGCATGTTGTATTCACCTGTAGGTGAACATAACGAACAGCGTAAGACGTAAATGGTGAACAATAAGCGTGCCAAATTTATCATATTCACTAGCTTGACTTGTAAAATTACAAATAAGTGTTAATGTCTTTTTTTCTGGTCTGGTATCTTTTTATCATGCATATTTCTGATGGGCTGTACAAGGGGGCAGTATTTTCTGTTTCTTACCATGCTTGATCCCGAGCCTGACAGTTCAGGCTATCCGTGCATGCATAGGACAATGGATTGTTAAACAGCAAAGCAATAAGCAAACAAGTTGCAAAAAGTAAATGGGAAAAAAATAAATTAATAAAGTTATTTACAGTCCTAAAGTTGGCCAGCATAGGGAAAAACTGTGCCCTCAGAAAACAGACCTCTACTGTGCCTCTTGGCTGGCTCTTTCGTCTATATTCAAAGCCTAGGGCGTAGTTTGCCGCTACCAATCTATACCACCTGGCCAGTAAATGATCTCAAATTTCTATATGTAATATATACAGTATGAGTGGCTGTGTTGTATCAGATATGCAAATTTGAGGCATAGGTGAGAGTTTGTATATCGGATACAACACGGACACAAACGTCTAGGTTAGTTCCTTTGTGTTTCACTAAATTTTTCAAAATTAAAGTGAATCTGGCCAAGAAAATCTAACTTAAAGTATGTGCAAATGAACACAATTGTGTATCAGATTTACAACACTCTTCATGGTCATGATTTATGTTGTGATTTCCTCATGAATTATTCATGAGTTTGACAATAATATTTGGAATTTTGTTAAATTTTGTTTTCTTTACACAGATTTGTACGTATACTATTCTTGGACAAATGACATCAAAGAAAGCCATAGTAGCTTGTTTAGTCATAATATGTGGTTTTCTACTTGGTGTTGATCAAGAAGGAACTTCATCGCATATATCCCACAGCGGTATACTATTTGGTATTCTTGCCAGTCTGTGTGTATCACTCAATGCCATTTACACCAAGAAAATCATCCCAGTTGTGGACAACAACATTTGGCGCCTTCAGCTCTACAATAACTTCAATGCGTGCTTTCTCTTCCTACCCCTTATGGCTATCTTAGGTGAATTTCAAGAAATTAAGACATTCTCTATGATTGGATCTGGATATTTTTGGTTAATAATGTCTTTGGGAGGCATATTTGGTATTTCTATTGGTTACATCACAGGACTACAGATCAAAGTCACCAGCCCTCTAACGCACAACATCAGTGGGACGGCCAAAGCATGCGTTCAGACAATCATTTCTGTTAGCTATTTCGATGAGGTGAAGACCGCACTGTGGTGGATGAGTAACTTGTTTGTACTTGGAGGATCGTTTGCRTATGCTTATGTTCGTCACACTGAGATGAAAGCTAGCCATGCTGAAGAGAAGAAAAGCACAATTAAAGGTGAGGAAGAACTTGAGGCAGGTACTCCGTTAGTCAGTGATGATAAAATTTCTAAGGCCTGAACGAGTCCAGCACTCAATATAATGGCCATCGGACAATGCCCGGCCAAAAAATTCGAACTTTTTCACATCAAATCTTTGCCTTGTCGGTCATTTGGACTAGACACTAAGCTAGAAATGAAGTATGATCGAGCTAAAACTAATTTGGTCAGTCATCATGAATAGCAGCTAACCGTTCATTATAATCTTAAGCCTGAAGTCTCAAAAGAGAGGAAGGGCTTGCATTTGTTTCTTGGTGTGCAAGGTGCACTTTTTGGTCTTTGTTTCTGCGTTGATTAGAAACATTTTGATAAGTACATAATTTTGTATACAGTATATCGTCATTTTCAAGACAATTTATTTTCCACCGACAGTTTTGTTATCAAATTTGTATGATGGAATTTTAATAACTTTTTCTCATAGTGACAGTACACCATAGTATTCACGTACTAATTAGTATGTGTGATAAACTTTCTTTTAACTCGTTAGCTATCTCATTTCATGGCAGTGGGTGCATGACGCTTCCACACCTTCTAACAGACACGCAAACACTGCTTCAAAAAGTGCAGTATRCATATACCATGATCATGGAAATCCATCGTGAAAAGTAGTACTTGTATTACAGTAGGAATCAAATCGGGGGGGGGNGGGGGGGGGGGGGGGGGGATCCATGCACATTCTAGCACATTGTTAAACCTACTGCTAATAATTAACGATTATTAACTATATCTCTGTTTAGTTGGGGGGGGGGGGTCCATGCCCATTCTAGCACATTGTTAAGCCCACTAATAATGATTTATAATAAATAATAATTAATAATTATATCTTGGTTTAATGTARATAATTAAATCAGAGTAGTGTGTTTTCTGCAAAATAAGTCTAGCATTCAGTGATCCTTTTATAATAATAAACATGACAAATATTCCATCGTAATTATTCACCTTATTTGACCATATGCCATTTAGGAAAAAAATGATGGAAAATCATTGCCACCATGTTCATAACTATTTGCTTGCGCCAGTTCAAAACGCATTGAAAATTTGGTATTCCATTACCATTTTGTATTCTCTGCCTCATAGACCATAAATAGACTAGTGATGTTTGGGTTGTGAGAAAAGCTACATGTGGTTCGTTAGAAAAACTGCATAATGCTAACGAGCTACAGTTAGTACAACAGTCTTTCCGATGAACCAGATGTTGCTATTTTATTTATGGTCAATGAGACAAGACTACAGAATGATTGACAGCAGCAAAATGCCAAATTTTCAATGAAATTTGAGTACATGCCAAATGTCATAACAGATAGTGAGGGGTGTGTTCCATATAGAAGACAATGAATTCCAAATATTGACAAACTTGTGCAATATTAATAATGCTTATATACATTTATTAATTGGCAGAATTGACTATATTCATGCTTAATACTAAGTAGCAGCTATTATTGCCATTCAATGAAATGCATGCCCTAATCTAGCAGGCCAAATTACAAGAGTTCTTGAACTTTGGTCTATTTTAGAATGTTAATAAAATTACTTTAACCAACGTAGTAGTTAATTACACTGACGAAGGACTAACATGTACTCCCTTTATAATAAAGCATGCCGACAAGTGACATAAAAGAAGAGTGGAATTGCGAGTGCTTCTCGCACTTGATCTTCTAATATTAAGTTTCAGAAAATGTTCATACGCCACCCCCTCTTTCACGGAGGATTTTTTAAAGACCCACACCCCAGAAATTCCAATTTTCTTCCAACAACCTCAGTCTGTGATTTTGGTCTTTCTCTGGAAACCCCCCACCCCACGGTAATTCCAAAATCCTTCATCGAAGGGGGGGTAGGAAGTATGGACTAGATAATTTCTAAAACTACACAATCAGTGAAATGAAGYTTAAAATTGTGATGATTGATATATATCTCATTAAACATACTAATTGTGTCCTATTGTACATTGATTTTGGATCATCCCACATCAATGTGAGATGTTTGTTGACCAGGTTTCTGCCATTCGTTTATTATTTAAGTTTATTTTCCACTCCGCCTTTGAATTGTTACCTTCTGTGTGCACAATGTATGCTTGTGTCTGGTGTCATACCTTTACATCTAACTACAATTTCGCACTTTATACTAATGAAATCAACATAATAATTAACATTTGAATAAGTTTTTAAAAACTCCCATTTCTTGTTTTATCCACAATGTCATGTACAGTGTGCTTTTCTTTAACTTCAGTTTCTAAAATTTGTATACACACTTTGTTTGGGTCAGATGTTTGCATTGTAATAGTGAAATAAATAAATAATCATTCAACCAACATTAAAGTAAAATCTGTTTAAAAACTCCCATTTCATGTGTTTTATCCATAATATGCCACAGTCATATGCTTTGCTTTAAACTTCAGCTTCTTCTTAAAGGTTTTATATTTTTGGCATAAACATAAGATTAATCCTGCACATGGCTGTGTTTTTTTATTGCTTTTTAGGTCATCCAAATCATGATTCATAGCACCTGCACCTAAACAAGTCTACATCATAACATATGTAATGTTGTGTCTGTGCTGTCATCCATTTTAAACACTATATAATTAACTGTTACACTGTATTTTAAACATGATTAAATAAATGTCTTGTGTAAAAAATAAATATTTGCATTGAAAATACAACAGGGATTCCAATTTAGATAACAGTGAAAGGTGAAAATAAAATTGGGGGAAAATCAACTTAATTAATTTTTTTTTTTTTTGTATTTGATGTCAAGATTGTGGTTCCTCACTCTAATGCAAACACCAGCTAAGAAATCTATTAAAAAACATTTTTTTCATGCACACTTTTTTTCCCTATATAACTTCCCATTTCTTTCTTTTCCATACGTATTTATACACTTAAAGGGGAGGAAAGATCACATTAAGATCTATTTTGCAAACTTAACACACCAAATCTTAAAGTTGGTATTTTTACTTTTCACTTTTATCTAAATTGGGCTGCCTGTGGAAATCCTTTTTTTTTCTTTATTACATTGAATTAAAAATAGAATGAAAAAACTTTATTTATGCATAATTCCAATCTCTATTTACAATAATTCAATATGTAATCAATAGTAACTAGCAAAAAAAAATTTTTTTAATTCCTGTGGAAATACTTAAACATCTGACATACAACTGTTTCAGAAGAAATTATTGATAAAATAAATACTTCAAGCGCATAGCAGAAGTCGTCTTAAGCCACTGTCTTTGAATACAACTAGTATTTTTCTGTTATTTAATCATTATCGAACAGTGGTATTTCTTATTTAATAACACATTTTACTGATATGAGAATAAACGTGTTAATAAAATAATAATAATAATAATAATAATAATAAAATGCAATCACATTTTTTTATTGTAGATAAATTTATGAAACTAAATTTCTCACATCTCTGCAATATATATAGTAATTGCACAGCTTATATTTAAGAGAAAATTCCCAGCCAGAAAGAATTAACAAGTTTGTTTTGTTGATCGTATTATTAATGAATAAATAATTTATTAAAATAAAACAAATTTCACTTTACCAGGGGTAAGATAACATTTTGTCTAACATTAGGCTTTGTCGCAAAAACAAACCTGTTATCTAATGTACCATAATCAATTGGAATTTTAAGATATAAGGTTTTTGCAGCAAGAGAGGAAAACCAGAAAATCTAGCGGGAATCCCTTGAAGTAAAAAGAAAGATTTCATAGCATGGGTTTAAAAAAATGAGAAAATAAATAAATTTTAAAGAAAATTAAACATTTTAAGAGTACAAACCGCATGATTATTAATTTCGTAATAAAATAATAACTAACTTTAATTATTTGTTGCAAGATAAATTTGCTCTGTCTCAATGATATAATTGTGTTAAAAAGCATTGTAAAGGCTCACAATGGCATATCATACTTACTGCAATTCCCAGTCACACTCAACCAACTAGACCTAAATCACAAATGAAAAATCGAGTTTTGGTGGATGTCAATCATAAAGGGTTTCTTAAAAATGCTAATGATTCCAAGTCCAAATTTCAAACCCTTGACTGCAAAGCCATTGGTCATTTGACTTACCTGATCTTGAAGCACTCAAACCATAGCCAATACCGATAACTTTGCAGTCAAGCTTTTGAAATGTAGATCTGGAATCCTGTGACATTTTTGACAAAATATATCTAGAGCGAGAACTCCACAACGACAAGAAGCATGAGATATAAGGGCAACAGTGTTTGCAATGTTTGCCTACACATTCATGTGAGTATTCAAGTTAGTCGTTGTGGGGCCGAAGACCAATGGAAACGATACTAGCCCTTTTGATTGACGTCCWCCAAAATTACATCATACATTATGATTTTTAACATTATCTTCACTAGCTGGATTATTTTTCAGTTTTTTTCCACTTATAAGACTGTGTCATTCTATAGACTAGAGTATCTTTTTTTGTTTATTTACCAATTTGTGCATGAGTCAGAGAAGATACATGAATTTGGATATGACTCAAGCAAATAATCTTATTCTTCAGTGTCGATTGATCTGAAAAATTTATGCAAAATCACTACACACAGTACGTAAAGAGGTGTTACTAATAATTGAAGTTTATCTTTAATTCAGGCCTGTGCCATCAGGTGATGGCAGCCATGAGGTGGCATGACAATAGTCTTTTTTTCTCCTGGGAAAAATGAATTGTTTTTCATGTAAAGCAGATTAGACCAGAATCAATTGTTCCTGCCTCCTGTCATGGGTGCCATCACGTGTGGGTGCAGAGCCTCTAGTAATATATATACTATGCTATCACTCTAGCTATTTTTGAGCTTTATTTGGTATTGTTTTTCTATGCTAATGTGCTTGAAATTCCTTCATATTCCAGCTGTATAAGGATTGATGGCACAAGAGATGTATTATATTATATTCACAAAAGACACTTGAATATTATTGTTAGAATTATTTCTCAGAATTAACCATATTTAATGTCTGGCTTTTATTGACTGGCAATAATAACTATGTTAAAACTATTTAATAAATGTAGATATAAACAGTTGACAAGATGTAAATTATATTGAGGCAAGTTACTAGAGTGCAAACAATTAATCCGTGAAACACTAATTACTAAATAGTACAAAATAGTGCTAATTAAACAATAGAAAACAATGGAATTTGCATGAAATTGTGCTATTTAGTATTACTAAAGTTTCACGGTTATATTGTTTGCACTCTATAGTTAAATACTTTTAAGTGTTTTACAGACATGGCTTGCTAATAAGAGGGACTGGATGATGGGTGAGGAACAAAATGACATTGAACTAATTTTAATCCTGATTAAATTAGGACCCAGTATTTACATAAGTAGGTTTTTTGTGTTTTTACACATTTCCAACTACATTGGGGTTCTGGATTTGTGGAACCTCTAGAATTTTAGCTTTCCAAACTGATTAAAGTTATTTGAAATTCCCTCACCACCCACGGCACCCTCTTTAAAAAGGTCATAAATGGTTCCATAGCACTGTGGGAGTTTTGGTGATTATAATGCCCATGGAATTAGCAGGGCTGATAGGAAAAAAACAAAACAAAACAACAAAAAAAACAGCCAGTTATAACGGACAATGTCCAGCCAGAATTTGATTTTGTCCAGTCAAATCAATGATTTGCTGGTTATTTCGAAAAGTAATGTTGCTGCAGTTTTTGATATTCTGAGAACACAGACATTTCAAGGGCTTGTTGTAAAATTGGTTTTTTCACTGTCACCAGTCAAGAACATAAAAGGTGCAGACTGAGTATTTCATATTGGTGGGAGAAAAAAAAATTCAGTGTGCAGCTTAAGCTACCTTAAATAGTTCACATATCAAAAACTGCTGTAACAGTGAGCCAAAAAAGAGCAGGGTATCCAGTGAATTACCAGCAGTTATTCTTATCCCTGCCTGTTAATACTAAATAGTTATTATAAAATAACAGTTATAAATCTTGCATTCTGATTGGTTGGGAGTGCGTGCTTTATGAGAGCACACAGCACGCACATGCCCATTGCATTTTATAAAACAAATAAAAAACTTGCTTGCTGTGCAGTGTGGAGTCATAAAGCACTTGGGGATTGGCAGAACACTCAAGTAGTGTACAAAGTGTAAATGGATGTGAATGATATTATGGTGTGTAATACTTTAATTGAGTGTAAATAAAATGTTTTTGTGCACTAAATAATAAATATAAAATCTTGAAATCTTTACAAGTAATGTTTGTTAAGAATGATTAAACAGTTAATGGTTTGAACCCAGATGTTGAAGTTTGGACTGGACTCTGAAAGATGACTTCCACTTAGGTTGTCAAAACGTCAGTCACCACCAACAACAGTCTTTCTCAAGACTGCACTCACCTGGACAATCACATTTCGCACCAAATGATTAAGCAGGTTGTCTCAAGGACCCAAAAACACCCCACAAGGGCGGATCCAGCAAAATTTTAAGGGGGGCTAATTGAATTTAGGGGGGAGCTAATTGAGTTTCTTCCTTCAACACAATGGAAAACAATATAAAAAAGCATCGTTTTTTTTTCTGCTGAAGGGGGAGGGGGGGCTTCAGCCCCCCCCCCCCCCCCCCCCAGATCTGCCCTTGCCCCAGCCCTAGCTGAGAATTGTTTGAATGTTACTATTTTTATAGAAATGAATATTATTAATTATCCAAAAAAAAAAAAAAAAATCTATATTTATTGCAAGATTACCACTGTTCTCGCTTCAATGCACAGGCACAGTTACCTTTCAGGATGCAAGGGTACTGTGGAGGGGTCTACATGCACCACAGGCATATAAATAGTTTTTTCCCCATCCTCTCCCCTACCATTCCGGTAACAATTATCTTTTTCACTACCATACAAAATTTCACAATGCTTGAAACAAAAAACAACAACAAAAAAATCATAATAAAAACAGAAAACAGTTTTAATTAATTGACAACAATTTATTACATAAAAATATGTACTTTTATGTGCATTTGTACTATTATGCGGGGGGGAGGGATGGAAATGGAAAAAAGACCCCACTCTGTTCCTACGCTAGTGCTCCCTCAGCTCCATAAAAATCAGCTAATTAAATCAAAGTCGGGGAATCCCCTTTTTCATTGCGTTTTTATTTGAAAGTACGAATTTAAGAATTTGTACTAGTACGAATCTAAGAATTTGACATAACGTATAAAAGATACAAGTCCACACTTGTAGCCCAATCTGTGATCAAAACAAAACGGAGAAAGTGCACACGCGCGTTAGTARACCCACGGGAGTAGGGTAAGGCGAAAGTTCAACTCCATCCCGTTTCTAAAAATAGCCCAACGGGACGTGATATTAAGTGGTTCCCCTCTTTTTTATTTATTTATTACTTTTTTTCCCCAAATGTTAATTATTAATCTTATTTATGCTCTCGAACAAATAGAATTAAGAGCCTGGGATGACGTCATGTGAAAAACATCCATGACGTCATCCCAGGCTTTTAATAGTTATTTGTTCGAGAGAGCATAGTATAAACCTTCACTATAACTTATAGTGAAGGTTTATACTATGCTCTCTCGAACAAATAACTAGTAAAGACGCAAAATTTAAATAAAGAAATATTTCACCATTCAACTATTCACTTTATGTAGAACAAATATTAAAAGCATTGTATCAGGATTGAGGGTGCACTAGAGAGTTCAAATTTGGGACTCTGGGTTTCGTGACAGAAAATACCAACATAAAAAATTCCATGCGTAGTTGAGTGCGGCGAACCTTTTCATCGTATGGGTCAGTGGTGTAAAGTAATCCCTGCCATGCGTGACATTTGTTTGTCTTGCGAAATAAAAATGACTATTGCGTAATGTCGATGATAGGGGACTGGATCCCAATAGAATTATTGCGCAAGACGTTGACATTACAAAGCGTTTTGTTTAGCGATCGTTCGAACGATTGATCGAGGGCTGAAGTTGGATCGGGGTTTTACAGCTTTTTTTCCTACGAAAAGGCATACGGAGCTTTTATCATGCCGTACACACACGAAGAAACGCAAGAAATGGAGGGGAGTCCAAATGCAAATACAACGAAATTGGACAAAAACAGTTTGCCTAAAGAAGAATACGTGAAGAAGAGAGAACGAAACAACATAGCTGTTCGAAAAAGTCGAAGAAAAGCTAAAGAAAAAATCGAGGAAACAAAACAAAGAGTCAACGCTTTATCCAAAGAAAACGAAGACCTTCGAAATAAAGTTGCACTTTTACAAAAAGAACTGAATGTTTTACGCTCACTATTCGCCAATGGTGAGGTTTCGAACAACATTCCTAATGGTGTGAATGTGGTATTTACGAACTCTCCTGGTCAGTGTCCCAATATTGTAGTAAAAACTGAAGTTCCTGACGAAGAAGATTGCAGTTAATCGACAGAAATACGTAGTTTTATATATATTATCTATGACACTATATCGTGAAAGTGGACTTGGAAGTGAACTTGTTGGACAGTATGAAGCTATTGCGAAACATTTGACTGATCCATGTCACTATAAAAAGCTAGAGAGTTTTGGAATAACGTTTGTAAATCGTTAGATTTGCTCGAGGTTTGATTCAAACTCTATCTTACTTAGCTTATAAGTATCTTTATTGCAGAAATATCTCATGAATGTCTTAGACACATTTTTCTGGAAAAAAAGTGTTTGTAGGAATTTTAAAGAAAATATCAGTCATCAATACAGTAGTAATTTGACACTGGTGTTTTAGTACCCTGCAGAATCTTACCTCCTCTCCTTTCCTTCCCTCGCCTGTAAAGGAGGTAAAAGGAGACTATTGTATAGAACGAGACTGGAGAAAAGGAGACTGCTTGCAGGGTAGTGTTTTATGGGCCTACTAATATTTGAAAAGCTAACAAAATATTAGTGAATGAATATTAATATTCATTATGATGTAAGCTTATGTATATATTTATTATAATAAAAACAGCCTGGTTTTTAATTAGATATGGCAGTTGATTCTATGAAAAAACATGGTTCCCTTATATATTTAGGAGTGGGGGTTGTTACATAACATCACTAGATTTATTCTAGCTCTTTGTTCAATCTTGGTTGAAATTTCAAGGAAGGAGGGCTTAGGGGATTTTTGAATTCAACTAACACATTTCTTGGAAACGTGAAAAGCGAAAACTATCTCCTATACAAGAGGAGGTGCAGCTCAGTTGGTTAGTGTGTGGCCTTTAGGGCTAGAAGTCAACAATTTGATCCTCATGATTTCCACGTATTTCAACTTCTTCTGTTCTGTGTAGCTTTGAATTTAAATACCCGTAAGCCTTATATTCTAAGAATAAAGTGCACACCTTTGGAGCACTTCCCCTGGCTTGGTGAATTGGCAACCACCCCCTGCTTCATTGAAGCAAAAAATTAGTTTTACCTTTAACCAAAACTTTTTACTTGCAGAATCTTCATTTTAAATTATAGACACATACTTCACCTTCATCTTCATTCAGATGACTTGATAAACCACCTGAAGTCTAATAAATTGTGAAGGGGGTAACGATATAAAAAATTCTTGACTGTGGTTTCCATATACTGCGAACTCTGTAGTTGAAAGCTGTACACTAAAATTATATTTTTCTCTGCTGTCACAGTCAAAATAATCAGTCTGTACCTTTTATATTCTAGTCTCCCTCGCACCCGTTTTTAGTGTCGGTTGTCACTAAAAACGGATGCGAGGGAGACTATTTATATTCTTGACTGGCGGCAGTGAAAAACTAATTTCAGAACTAGCCATTGAAATGTCCGAGATTGCAGAATATCAAAAATCACGGTAAATATATATTTCTTAATTTTAGTTGAGCCTGGCATGATAGAGTGAAGTCATTAAACCCGTGAAATAGATATAAGACTAATACACAGTAGTAGACCTTAATTCGATTGTTTTCTTTTGTGTCTATTTGACTATTACACGTTGACTAATAATTTTTATTTCACGGGTTAAATGCCTTCACTCTATTGAACTATTGAAGAGTGCAGTATGTGGAACTATGGCAGTTTAGACTTGGGAGCAGTATTTCTTTAGTAAAGATGAGATGCAGCACACCATTGAAGAATTATATTTAGCAAAAAAAATATTCCAAGTGAAGAAAAATCATTATATTGCAATTTTACATTCATTTTTAGCCTGTGTAGTGGCCCAATTCCTCCACAAAATCGAACTGGTTTATAGGTACAGTATTTAAAAAGCATCATTATTTTACTCATGGTTTACATGAAAGCTATTTAAAATTTTTATTTTCAAAATGGCCAGCATTTAGTATTGCTAGTTACAACAAAAACAAATACCTTACCTGACGTCATCATCATTAACATATTGGAAGTATAAACCAATAATGCAATAAAATTTTCATCAAGAAATGGCATAACTAAATTTTGGTAGGAAAACAAACCTCCCCTTCCAAGGTCCTAGTGACAGACCTGTATATCACATATGTATCATGACAACTCCAGGTTATATTAAATATAAATTTTGACATATATCTTTTTTACTTGCAAAATTTATTTTAATTTTTACATTTCAAAGCTAATTTAATTTTCTTGTTCATATTTCATTAGCTTATAGTTATTTGAAGCTTGATTTATAATTTTTTYCCCATGAAAAAGCTTCTCTAAATTGACTCATGCAATGTCTCCACTATAAAACCTTTGATGAATAATCAACATGCACAAGAAATAAATGATTATTTACAATAACCTTAACTTTATATCCATATCTATATTTTTTCAATTGTATAGCTAAGTTTAAAGATTGTTGCTTTCTGATTGGTCACTATCATCGATAACAGCACAGATTATGATTGCATCATCAACAAGTGTGTATTGATTGTTCATTGATTTTAAATATTGTTTTCACTTTTTTATTTCATTTTACATATTATAATCTGTACTCTTATTAATAAAAGACAGTACCATTATACTTCTGTAAGATAAAACAAGATATTATTATCTTACTAAATATGCTTCAGTCTATTCAAGAAAATTTATAACTATATATCATTCGATATGTTTGCTATATTAGCTGGTTTTGTCAGGCTTCTTTAGAAACTTATTCTTGGTTTGCAATCAATCCCAAGAGAGCACAATAACAAAAGGGATGTCCACCACGTTGAAAGATATAACAAAATAATTCATTGAAAAATCTTTTGTCAAATTCTTCCAACATGGCAGCTATGACATCTATTGCAAACGAAGAATAAGGAAGCTAACTATCAGAGGAGACTTTCAATCAAATATTTGGTATATCTGCCTTTATAAGTTACTTTCTGGCTTCTTGCAACACTTGTTTTTTAAGTGCATACTTTGTGCTTGGTATGGCAATGAAGGAGTTGACCATTTTATGGTTCAAATAATGAGTGATGTGATAAAATCAAAGAGGAATATCTCATCTACAACACTCCAAAATCACATTCAAAAAAATTCTTCATCTTGGTTAGTATCTTCTGAACAATTTGGCAGTGTATCAATAGCTTATCTACAGCATTCTCCAAAATCATATTCAAAACTCTCTTCAGCTTGGTTATCTTCTGAACAATTTGGTAGAGTACCCCATAACATAAGGTTATCACCTAATCAAATATAGACAAAAATATATTAGCAAAGTATAGAAAAGTATCATTGCATGATCTAAAGTAGTGATGATCTAAAAGTTGCGCAAATTTAAAATTAAAATCAATTTTTATTTGATCTTAGGCACGAAAAACAAAAACTCATAAAATTTTAAATAAAATGAAAATGCACGTGCTGGACAGCACAAAGAGCTGACAGACTATTCTTATCAATATTCAAATGTCTTGGCAAAATCGAATACATTTTCTAGAAAATTTATTTTCTATTCAAAACAAAGATTTTTTACCTGCTTTGTCGAGTCTTTCCACAGCATATGTCGCACAGGAATGAAACATCCAAAAATGACCGTTATTACAGCTCCTTACACAAGATGAACACGGTACAGTTACATGATAGCCGACTATATTGCCACTACGAGAAGAAAGAAAACAAAAAAGTTACAAATTCCGTTCAAAAGCCAAAGGGTTTTAAAGTCCACGAACACAACTTACCAGCCAAGGCACGCTACATCTTTTATTTTACAATCACAATTTTTAGTACGATAATCCGAGCCAACCAACTGAATTGCCCTAAAAAGGTAAAGAAAAGGTTAAAATTATTGTAAGACAGATTTCTTTTAAAGAAAGTGGAAGTCTTCCAAGAGATTCTTCGAGAAAGAAGTGTGTCTTTACCCTTCAGGAGGCATATCGGTCGAGTACAACTCAACGTTTTTATCAGCGAGTAAAAGAGCTTTCATTCCTCTGTTACACAGAAGTCTTTCGCAGTAAGTACATTCTAACTTCACTACGGTCTTTGTGTGGAAAGCTGGATGCAGTCTTCGTGGCATTTTGAGGTGTTTTTTGAAGCAAAATAATGCCTTTCTTCCTGCAGCAATCGTCTTTCAGCAATGACGACGAAACTGTAACCGTAACTCTGATGGTTTTAAAGTCCGTTACTTCTCGGCTTCTCATTGGCTGTTTCTTAGCAACGGTCATGCCCGAAGTCGGGGTTTAAACTTCGCTATTGTGATCAGCTGAATGTCTAGAATATGTTTTTAACTAAGAGAGAAGATAGATGTTTTGAATTTTCCTTGCTTAAAATCTTAATTATTTTTTAACTACTAATTAAAACATGTCATTCTTTCATTTAATTTCTTTAGAAAATGCAGTTTCGTTTTCACGTGAGTCGAAAGAGATCTTGGGATCCCTGTGGTTTACGTAATAATAAAAATCAGACCGATTTCGTGGAATTAAAATATAATAATAATGACGATAGTATTTATTTATACACAATGTCTATTCAGCATGAGAGACGTGGTTGTAAGTTTGCATTTTTTATGGAAAAAGCAACGACAACAAACGACTGAATTTAGCTAATTTTGAAAAAGATGTTTCGATATCGAGATTCTTATTTGTTGAAATCAAGTTTATGACTTCATTATTCCTCCTTTTTCTTCTTCTTCTTCTTATTGATTTATTTTTTCCCGACGAACTTTTAAAAATGCATCCTCGTTTTCACACATTTTATATACCGAACGAAAATCATCTTGGGATCCCTGTGGTATTCTTTGAAAGTGCAGCAAATCAAAGATGGCGGACGTTTGAGGACGTGGACGACCGAATCTCATTAATCTCGACCATTAATCTTTCGTCAATTAACTTTTCTTGAAATAACAGAGTGTAGTCAAGAAAAATGCTTAATCCTTTGCAAAGAAGGCAAGCTCTTTGCTTTGCTTTGACGTGGATTGCTTATGCTTCAACCTATTTGTTGAGGAAACCTCTTGGAGTTGTGAGTATAGCCGAACTAGATTAAGCGACAGCTTCAACTTCAAAATTCAATAATATTTATGCTAAAGTTTTAACGAGTTTACTCCTTAATTAGCATAAGAATTAAACTTTAGCTGTATTAGAATGAAATGGGCGCGTGAACCTCTCAATTCTGTTTTTTTTTTTAAATTTAAATTTCATATTTTATTAGTAAGCTCATAGGGCTATTGCATTTATTTGTCGCAACCCCCTCCCCCACCCCCACACAAAAACACCCCGAAACCCTGAAGAAATCCAAGGTCCTCAGTGGGGAAGGGGTGGGGTGCAGAAAATAAATACATATGAAATCAGGGTCCTCAACCCAGCAGAGCACAAATGGTGGTTTTAATTCTGCTCATGACCAGTTGAGTCCTAATCACTAGTTTCCTTAACAATCAAAATCTATATTCAAGTTTAAAATTGGGTGGCGTAGTGGTTTACCTCTTGTCTCTCACTGCCGTGGTCTGGGTTTGTACCCCAGCTTGAGCTGGATCGATTTGACGTTTGTTCGATGTGTTGTCTTCTCTCTTGCCACAAGGATTTTTTTCCAGTTTTTTCGATTTTCCTCCCTCCATAAAAATGAACATGTGAGCTGCATTGTATGTAACTTGCAACATTAATATAGAATGCAGTTTCAATTTCTCATTTTACTTTACTTATTTTTTCCTTTACAAAATGATAAGTATAATAAGTCAAAGTCATGATCTTTATTTCCAGATCAAAGCTGACTTGAGCACCATCTATAAGATGTCAAGTACTGACCTAGGTTGGTTAGATACATCCTTGCTCTTGCCCTATGCAGTAATGCAGGTAAATTATAGATATAGAACATGTTCCACTTTATGTGCTCTTACTCGATCTAGATACAGTAATGCAGATTATGTAAAATGTGTCACTTTACGTAATCTTACACTAGATACAGTAACGCAGGTTATATAACACGTTTAATTATGTACTCTTACTCTAGATACAGTAAATGTAGGTCATATAAAACGTTTAATTATGTACTCTTACTCTAGATACAGTAAATGCAGGTTATATAAAGACTATCGTATGTCCAAGTCATAGAATAGTAGACTTTATTTGTCTCTGTTGAATTAACTGATTTGTGTTTAACCACCCCCTCCCCCCCTGTTTATGGTACCAATGATTATGCCTCTTATCCAGATCCTCTTTGCATCTTGTGGAGATCGATTTGGTCCAAGAATTGCTTTAACATTCTGCTTACTTGGCTCAGCATTATCCATGGTATGTGTTACTATTTGTAATGTAAAAATTAAATACATTCAGTTAATTATTATATTCTAAAATAATTATAAAAACATGTTGGAATGATGTAATATTTTTCAACTAGTACATGTGCTATGCGTGGACATGTAATTATGGACAATTTATGCATTTTTGATCTATTAATATATTTCTGGTGCGATTGCATTTTTTCTAGTGTACTTTTGGATTTTGGCATAATCTTCCAATCTTTGCTGTTCTTCTGTTCTTAAATGGAAGTTCACAAGTGAGTACATTGAAAGAAAGTCAAGATTATGCATTCTATTGAAAAAGACATTCATTCTGTCTTTTATTAATTACTCATTAATTTTCTATTAATTTATTCATTTTTTTGTTGATTATCCATCAGTTTGTCCTGCTATTTATCTGTGCTTTACTTTCATTTACCCATCCATTAATCCTTTTATCCCTGCTTTCATTGATTTCATTCATCTATATATCCATTCATCCATTCATTCATGCATTTATTCATGCATTTATATATTTATCCATCNGATTATGCATTCTATTGAAAAAGACATTCATTCTGTCTTTTATTAATTACTCATTAATTTTCTATTAATTTATTCATTTTTTTGTTGATTATCCACCTTTCATCTTTGCATCATTCCATCTATCTATCCCATAGTTGTTTGGAATTTCATGACATTTCACTTTCATCTATCCATTCATGCATTCATTTATTTATCCATCCATTCATTCATCCATTCATCCATTCATTTATTTATCCATCCATCCATTCATTCATCCATTCATTCATCCATTCGTTCATTCATTTATTTATCCATCCATTCATTCATCCATCCAGCCATCCTCTAATGCCTCAAGGTAGACCAACTTAGAGTTGTTATTTTCCTAGTTGATAGAGTTTTCATATTTTATATAAAATTCATCATCATCATCATCATCATCATTACTGTTATTATTATTATTATTATTAATTATTCATTCATCCATCCAACCCACCCATCCATCCATTCAGTCTTTCATCCATTCTAGTCCTTCGTTCATTCATTCATTCCTTCATTAATTCGTCCATTCATTTCATCTCTTTGTTCGTTCCTTCATTTGTTTGTTCATTCATTCCTTTAATCATTCATTCATTTATTCATTCATCCATTCATCTTCCATCATAATATATGGTTGAGATGCATCATCATTCAAAATACAATAAAGATGATGTCTAGGTCGTGAAGTCTAATGTAGTGGTATTTTATCCTGAAGGCAACAGCCTGGCCAAACTGTGTCAAGTCTCTTGGTTCCTGGTTCAACAATCAGCAAAGAACAACTATCTTTGGATTCTTTGGTACTTGTACCTTTACTGGAGGCATTATTGGAAGTGCATTAGCTGTAAGTCAACTAAATGCTTTGGATATGTCATAAACAATGGAATAGCACAGCGCACAGATTCTAAAAATAGCTTGAAGACTCAGACATTGCATTCTGCTCAACAGTGCCGAGCGTTATACGAAATGATTTTATCAAAATGTGAGGTGTTCAAACCCCCTCAGCCCCCCCCCCCCCCACATTTAACAAATTGACGTCAGTTTTTTATGTCTGTCCTCTCTTTGACAATTGCGTCATCACATTGTCAAAGTAGTGTGGATCCACGAGATGTAGCCAAGTGGATCTGCATACTACTTTGACAATGTGATGACGAAATTTATCATCAATAAGAGGACAGACATAAAAAACTGATGTCAATTTGTTTTTTACAATAACAAAAACGATAAAAACTTCTCATTTTTACTGATCAAAACAACTAACGGAAAGAGAGCGTGCTCATTGACATCAGCTTTRTCTGTCTGTCCTCTTATTGATGATAAAAAGTAACCAATTAGCACATGAGAAATTTGTAAGTTATTGTAAAAAAACCGGTTTTTAACAATCTCAGCTTCATGACAGCCTTGGATACTTAAATTACTGTACATCTGTCTAAATTTCTCCTATTTCTCTATTAATATTACTGTAATGATAAAGCTTGTGTATAAGGGGTTTTTAAAACATCTTAAGAATAGGTGTTTATCCTATGAATATATTGGTATTTGGTGGCTATAATTGCTTTTTTAAGTTCTGAAAATGCAATTTTGGGTAGTTTTCTTTGACGTGTTGTGGCTGTTTTGTCCCTTCCCACAACCATGATTCTTATCACTAATACTCCATTTCACAGTTCCGTTCAGTGACCATGAATGATAGTTCCAAACCGAGGTTGGAGTTGCCTCACAAGATAAAAAATGTAGTTTTGCTATGCGCGGTAACTCCAGCCTCGACTTGGAACTATTATTGGTGATCACTGAACGGAACTGTATAAATGAGTATTAAGACAAAAGATACATTGCCTTCATGTAACACCATAGTGATATAGCTGTGTAATATTAACCTTTTGGAATCTTGCATGAACACTAGCTGTGTCTTTATCACAGGTACAACTTCAGTCAACATATGGACCAGACTTGAAGATGATATTCCTTATACCCTCAATAGTTGTGGTGAGTAGAGACTGGAGTGCATAGCTGCTTGGATTATTTTCTCGTATTCAGAATTTTAACTTATAATGGCACGTAATAGTATAAAGAATGCTAACAAACCCGTGGCCCTCACAAACTATGCATTAATGAAAGAATAATAAAGTTCAGTATTCAAATAATGACAYCATGAATGGAATCTAGGGGGTTAGCTTGAGCCATTTTGAATGTAAGAGGGTGACATTAATAGTGTATACATGTATGATGACCTACATTGCACTGCAATGGATCAGACCTCACTATGTTAACAAAAGATGAACTTTCAAATAATGAGTCAACACATTTATACTTTGATAGATGTGTTGATCATCACAGTGAATGAGCAATCTAAGTGAACGCTGTAAAGAAAGACTTGAAAAAATGATTTCAAGCTTCAACTGGAATCGAACCCATGACCTCCGCAATGCCAGTGCGATGCTCTACCAACTGAGCTATGAAGCCAATTCTGTTGGCTAGCGGTCATTTTGTTGGGCTCATCAAGCCACCATATGTAATAAGTGTGAATATTGAATGGGTAGAACTGTGGTGAAATAATGATAGATGTGTTGATCATCACAGTGAATGAGCGATCTAAGCGAACGCTGTGAAGAAAGACTTGAAAAAATGATTTCGAGCTTCAACGGGAATTTATACTTTGCTGTGTTTACATGCATTCATCATAGACCTTGTTGTTAATTGGTGGAACGTCATTATTTAATCTATATAATTATGTATTATTCATCAGGGAGTAATTGGTGTTTTAATTTTCTTGTTCATGAGATCACCAGAAGAAGTAGGCATGATAATTCCAGGACAAGGTACACTTTATGAGAAATGATTATCAATGTACATCTCATCGCAGGACAATGTAAGACAGCATAACACATGCAGGCATCCCACACCTCCTATATATCCTATATTTTCTATAATTTGTATAGGATCCTATAAAGAAAACCTCCTATATTTCCTATAAATAGGACGACTGCTGACTGATACATTTATATCTTACACTGTTTAGCATATTTGGCGAAGGAAATAAAATGGCCCTCTTTTTTTGGTTCTGTTTTTTTTTTAATGGCTTTTTAGTTCTGCATCTCATTGCCTGTGCACCCTCCCAATCCCTGGTTATGCCACCGAAAAGCTATCTTAGCTCCTATAAAGTGCATATATTTTTGGGAAAAGATCCTATATTTTCCTATATTTAGAACTTGCACAGCCTATATTTCCTATCAAATTTGTCTAAAAAGTGACTGGGATGCCTGCACATGACAACATGATACAATGCGCTACAACACAACATTCCACACCAAAGCACACTACCACATGCCCACACAAAACACTACCACACAGCTTGCAACCACCATACCATGCCAACAACATTGTACCACATCACATCATAACATGCCATGCCACACTTCTATATACACCAATACCACACAACACAACATCACATATGTATACACCACACTACCACATGCCCACACAAAACACTACCACACCTTACCATCATTATACCATGCCATGCTGCACCACACATATATGCAAACTATACACCAATACCACACAACACAACATCACATATGTATACACCACACTAACACATGCCAACACAGAACACTTCTATACCTTACCATCATCATACTAAGCCATGCTA